CCATGATTTCTGGTCGCAAATCTAACCATGCGAGTTATGTAGCTCGGAATTTAGCAACGATTTTTCGTCATACGTCCGGATGATTTGTTACTGCAAGTCATACACGACTTCCCGTTAAGGCCTCGGTGAATAATTTTCTTTGCCTTGAATACGAAAAGGAATTAACATTGTGTGGGTGTAGTGCTAACTGTAATGCTGAAGAAGGCCAAGAAATAGAAATAATTGAAAAGAATAACTGTTTATCTGTAATTGCAAGGGATTTTACACAATGGAAGAGAATCCGGTCTGTTACAAGAGAAAATCAGAGAAGAACAAGAGATAGAGAACAAAATGAACATAATACATATTGTTTTGTTTAAGTTGTTGAGTTATAGTTCAATGTGAACTATACAAATACTTTTGGAATTCAAACGACTTTCTCGTGTCGTGCAATTCAGAAGGTAAACGTGCTTGTAATTTCAAATCGCCCTCGCGCTGTTCGCTCGTCCGATTTTGAAATAACTTGCACGATTACTCCCTAGCTGGATGTACTCCACTCGGTCCTATTACTATTACAAAACTCTCTCAAGTAAAACATGTTATACGGTGATTTCCACTGTCTGCGACTATTACGTGACCTCGACGGTTTACAGCCAATGCATACGGGGTATCTAGACATCCGGGACCCGAACCTAACCGTCCAAAACTACCAATGAAATTTCCTTGTGAGTCTATCACTTGAATTCGGTGATTCAAGCTATCGGCTATTAGAATATTTCCTTCATAATCTACTGCAAGTCCTCTGGGGTTCATCAACTGATTTTTCCCAACTCCGCTACGGCCAACAACAGTGAAAGATTTTCCATGCTCGTGGAAAATCTTAAGCTGATGGCTCTCGCATTCTGAGATAACAACGTCGTTATTCTTGGTGATGGCCACTCCGCTTGGATACTGCAGGTACATTGAGCCACCGATGAAGCCCAAGAAATGGCCGTCAATGCGAAATTTCTGAATTCTGTGGTTCGGCCGGTCGGCTGCTAATATATTCCCCTCCCTGTCCAGCGTTAGTGCAGAAATCTCGGGTCTTGTATCTCTCTTGCTGTAAACGGGGAGAAAATTATGCGATAACGCCCCATCCGAACTGAAAACCTTGATTATCTGCGAGTCCGTTACTACGATATTTCCTCGTTTATTGACTGCAATGGCCACTGGACCTGTGCTACCAAATTCAATTGGTTCCCGAGAAAGTTCGCCAACAGCGTCAAACACTAGCACGCGGCAGTTACTGCGGTCAGCAGTATAGATAAGTCCATTGTGGCTCGCTACGCAGCATGGGAAGTCGAACTGGAGAGGAACAGAGCGCATGCCCAGAGATCCAAGAGAATAAGAGTTTTCCTCGAGAACTTCTGAATAGTTTAACCCCTGTTGAATAAACGAAGATAAACACATGAATTTTGCTATCCCAGTTTCAAGCTGGAATATCAATTTTCATTACTGACTAGAATTTGGAGACACATCAAGACAATATCACAGTAGTTGATGATTTTCTGCAATCTCTTCACCTGATTGGTTGATGGCATATTGACATTATGAGGAAAATTTAGTTCTAAAAAACCTGGGTTTTTTGTTTGTTTTTTTTCGATTAAAAATGTACCTTAACAAGTCTTATTTACATGAACTGTGTTTCTTATATTTTGAGCCATTAAGCCCCTTCCTTATTCCAGCCTACCCTGGGAGGAACTTCTCAGATTTTGGTCATGTGGAGTGAAGATCTAATTGAGAATTTTAAGATGCTGACCTGCATTCAGTTTAGCTTTGCTTTACGCACCACAGTTGAACATTTTGACCTGTTAGAGCGGTGTCGAGAAGTAATTGGTTTGCATCAACTATACACTACACGATTGGCTTAAAAAACTCGCGCCACTTTTTCATCCAATCGTGACTCTCTGTCACTCGTTTTTCCGCGCTTTGCGTCCGACTACATGTAATTACTTCGAGTTTTGATTGGTCCACTATATTGTCTGTGTCCCTTGTGATTGGCTAAAGTGATTACCTTGGTTTTGGTTTTACGACACTCAATTGAAAACCGCTCAATAACTTGAATGCAATCAGCTACTCGCCTTTGATTTGTGTTTCTCGGGGCTTTCCAGTCTCCAGAGAGGTATTTTGAAAGCTTTATTTGCGATTCCATTTTTTCTTGTTCGTTCAATTTCGTCTTGTGTTTCCTCGATTTGTTGCTGTAGATCGAACAAATCGAATTCATTTTGACGAATTTCTTGCTTTATTTTTCTAACATCTTCCATCGTTTCCAAAATACATTGATCAACATCTACTAGTTCGTTTGTCTTGAGGAACACAGCCTCACTACAGTGTCTCACTGCCTCGCGTTTGGCTAACAACTGTGTTCGAATGTCGTCCACAGACTTGACCGTTTTTTTCAGAGTTTCTTGTTTTTCGTCTCGTTGCTTACTCAGTGTCTCCAAAGTTTTGCTTGTTTTTTCGTTAGTGTGTTTATCAAATACAGTCTTCCTCTTATCAATCCTCCCGCTTTTCTTGGGAGCTTTATCCTTCGCTCCTAACAGACTCAGCAGCTCCTTGAATTCTTTCTCTTGTGCGTGTAACATGGCTTCATTTTCTTGCGCTCTCTCCTCGACTACACTCTTTTCTTGTTCAGTCAGGTCTCTGTGCTCGTTAATGCTGTCGATAGCTTCTTGTCCAACGATAATAATTTCCTTTTGTGAATCAAGCAGGGCGTGTTTCTCTTCCAGAGTCTTCTTTAAGTCGTTTCCTCTCGCGGAACAGTTGGCTAATTCTTCCAACTGTCTTCCCATCAATCGCTGAAGTGTGTTAATTCTTCGAGTGGTTAAGGTGTTGTTATCGCCTACGAACGCAAAAAGAGATACGCCAAAGTTAACACGCTTCTCGGTCACTGCTATTTTTCCTCAGGTCTTCTATTTTTACAACAAGTATTTTAACTTCTACCACAACTAGGGACGTTGGCCTCATGGTTAGAGCGCTTAAAGCGGCCCAGGTTCGAGTCCTGGCCGGGGACATTATGTTGTGTCCTTGGGCAAGACAATTTACTCTAACAGTGCCTCTCTCCACCCAGGTATATATATAAATGGGTACCGGCGAACTTACTTTTGGTTGCAATGGACTAGCATCCCATCCAGGGGGGAGTAGAAATACTCCTAGTGGCTTCATGCTACTGAAACCGGAGATAAGCGCCGGCCTGATGGGCTACTTAGCTCGTTTGCAGACTTTACAACAAGGGGTAAGCCTCGTTCAAGATGCTCTTATTGTAACCCTTCTAAATAACTCTGAAGAGTCAGAATTTTCATCATATCTCCCTTTTCTTTTTATTCTGGTCTCCAAATGAGCAGCCAGTACGAGAGCTCGAAACTAAACTTGTGCATAAAATATTCACAAACTTTCGATGAATCCGGCATTTCACGACCGTACATCTTCTGATCTCTTCAACTTGACATTTCTTGAATTATTTTCAGTGCAAACTCATCTTCAGTTTTGCTTTAACTGATAGTACCTACATATGGAAATTTTCCAAATGCCTTTTCTTTTTTACTATTCAATTCCAAAATTCCCTCGATCAAATTTCCTTGCTACGTTCAGCAAAGTCTTCGTTTAGTCATAATCATACATGACATATCATTTTTTGTTAGCAGTTGTTATGTCAGTTGAGAGGAAAAATTGTGAAAAAGTTAACAACTTAATGAGAACCGTGAAGCACTAGGTTTAATACAAATCACGTCGTTCGCCTTGCATTTGGGCAAGAGAAATAAAGCATAAAGTACGCATTACGCCCCATTCCGCACTCTGTCAAACTCGTGTAAGTGGAGTCTGTAAAGCGTATCAGTTGGCACTTCATTACACTTGAGATACGCGACAGTTCACAGTTAAGTTTCAAGTTTATCAACAAATATAACGATCTTAATTAAAATCATTTTCTAATTACCTTCCTTGGACTTGCCATTCATCACATGTACAGCTTGTTTGTATTCATCCAGTAATTCAATAAGTGCAAATAACTCACAGTCTTGTAGAAGTTTTCGTAGGAAAGACAGCTTTTTCTCGCTAACTAATCCACGGTCTTGAAGAATATGCATTATATCGAAGCCGCCTTTCAGTCTGCTGAGAAGTTCTTTGTTGACATGCCCGCGAAGCTGTACTTTAATCTTCCTTATGTTTTCGCGGCTGAGCTGACTAGAAATTGTTCCCATCAGAATATTAAACGGTGAAATCTGTTTGCGCTCTTGCAAGACGAACGCCATTGCTAAAATCTTGATGGCGCGAAGTCAATAACTATTGTATTAACTGTAAAGTGTGTATCACACTCGTGTTTCAGCAGTTGCTATAGGATTATGAAGTTTGTTTACCTGGGCAGTTTATTTTCCAATTGATTCAAAAGTGATCAAGTGCAGCTTTTGTTAACGGTTAATTAATTTGCCAAAGTTAATCCATGGCATTCAGCAAGAGAGACCAAACAAACAGATAGTGAACAAAAGCAACTAGTTTTGTGATTGGTCCGTGCTTTTGCAATACGCGTCTTTGACTTTTTCATTTCTTCACAAGAACTAGTTTAGAAATCTAGATACAATACCCGTTGTTTAAAGAAAAACGAATCAAAGAAGCCGAGAAACTGCATTAACTATAAATTGCTATCAATGATTTGTTTTTTCACCATTGCCTTTTGCTCAAAATATACCTCATTTGAAAGTTTTTTCTCAACTACTAACTATCAGTATTGTAAATAAATGAACAGTTAACGGCTAGATGATCAACGAAAAACAGAGTAGATGAAAAATGAAGCATAAGAGAGAGACGAGTATTTTCTTCCAATCACATCGAGGATAATCGGCACGCAATCACTAGAAAAAACGAGCTCTGAGTGTAAACGAGACTTAACGTTTAATCTCCTTGCCATCAAGGATGCGTCAGTTAAAGCTAGGTATTAATAGTACTGATCTGATCGAGTGGCAGAGAGCACCCATGCCAACGGTGTCAATTTAGCGTATGCTAACTGTATCACACTTTAACGTGAAATATTGCGCGTTTGCAGGGTATTTGATCATGTAGAGATGAATAGCGCGGTTAACGAGGTAATTAAAGGTAACTCCAAAGCAAAGTTCTACTTTTAATAAGAAGTGACATATTCTGTCTTTCTAATGCACAATTCATCAAATACATTAGAATTTAAAGAAGTACTGGACAATAAACAAATAAACACCTTTAACTGTTAACAGCACTCCATGCACACTATCTCCTATTGTTTGTTCACTCTGCACAAGGCGGTGCGAAACTATTTTCGCCTCATCACGTCCAGGCATTCAGTGGCACCTTTGTATTAATCACATTAACGCTTCTTTCGTTACCACTTCCACGTTTTGCCAAGCCAGCTGAATCTTTTGTGTTATAAGAACCTACTGATCGGCTCCTCGATCTGACTTCGTTGGCGTTCACGTCCTGTTTACTTTGGGCGACCGCCGCCATAACAACTGAATTTTCCACCTCGTTACTGTTTTCGGCCGGCTGGTATCCCGGTGTCCAGGGAACCAACTCCAAAGGCTCGATACTTTGGAGAAAATTCTTCACAGCTTGCCTTTGAAGATACAGCTCTTTTTCTCTTACTCGACGAAAGTACTCTAAGTCAATTTCAACATTAGTCGGTCGACGTAGTTTTTGACCACTGTGTTTTTCACGCGAGGTATTGCTTTGCACCACACTAAACTCCGGGACTTTGTAGTAAGATGTCCTCGCTGGAGCACTTCGCGCTCGATTTAATCTTTGAGTGACAGTTTTCAACTTTCTCTCCCATATCTTGTTCCTCTTTTCTAGTGCTGTCATCGGCCTTGGTGGCAAATCATGTCTCTCAGAGGGATAATCTGAATCTGTTTCACCATATGACGTGTTATGGCTTATCCGAGGGGGTTCGCATGATTTAGCTCTCCTAAATTTCGGTAACGGAGGTTTTGGGCTTGCGCTTAAGCAGCGAAGCTGTCTCAGAGAGATCCTTTCTTCACCAATATCGTTATTTTGACCTTGCAGCTTCCTCGACTCTATCGCACGTTTGTGATTAATATCCAAAGTTTCTTTCACTTCATCGTGGTTCTTCGCAATTTCCACGCTCAAAGAGAGTTTGCGTTGAAATCGATGTACAACAAGTCGTTGATCAGAGGAGATTCTCGCAACTCTTTGCTGTTCCTGTTTATTTAAACAATCTAGTTCCTTCTTGAGTTGAATCTCTTCTTTCCAGTTGGCCGAGTGAACTTTCTGAGACTTTTCTGAGCTGCCCGGCCCAGACTTTTGCCTGTCGATGTAACTCGCAAATTGAATCATCTTTCAGTGCACAATGGTTCAATCACAGCTCTGATAAAATGAATATTCTCAGCCATTCAACCTTCGCAACAGCAGTATGTTTAGCGTAGACATTCGTAAACTGTATGTCAACGGGTCAGAAATTCAGAACAAAGGCTGAAAGACCCTAATTAGCATTACTTCAGAGGCACTAAATCTTTTGTCATCTGAACACAATTTTGAAAAATACAATTCGTTTATTGTTATAACTGTCATTCTAAATAGTAACTAGGCTAATACGTTTTGGCATTTTAATTCCAGTGCAGTGGCCAGCAGCTGTTGTTTGCTATTACAGTAAATAACCTCTGTCTTTGATTCGACCTAATTTGAATACCAACTGATTGACTTCCTCACTAAAGTCGTCGTTGTTCGTTGTCTTAAAACACGTATTACTCCCGTTTCATTTCACTAAACGAGCTAGAACTTTCAACATTTCAGACTTCAAAAATTCAAGCAGCGTTGGTTAAGCCGTTTGTCTATAACAAGAAGGCTATAATTGTACAATATTAGATTGCTTTTAGTGTTTGTTATTTCTGCCATGATTGCCAAGATGACGAAATATATAACAGAGCCGGTCAAAGTCGTCAAAGGACCGCTCTGGGAATTTTTCTTTCTTCCGTCTAGTCTAGACGTTGTTTTAGCTTTGTATGTCTCAGTCACGACCTAGACAACTTTTAATTTCACTTCATGCATGGTCGAGGAAAGCTCCGACTCTACCCAGGAATAACATTTTCGTTTGTTTCTGAGTTCGCTGTTACCGTGGTTACTGCATTTCTATTTGCATCTTCCAGTCAGACGTTCCTATATCGTCAGCCTGAGACAATATCCTCCATAAACACTGAAATAAAACTTGATTGACTAAACATAAACATGACGAGTCAATTCCATAATTCTGAGCATAGCAACGGGTTGTCAAAGACCAGGTTACCAAGCACAGTTTAACTTGGGAGTCGCGAATTTTTGTCCCCATAGCCTCCGTGTCTTTTGGTCGAGTCGAGTTAGTCATATTTGCGACGAGTAGAGCTGGGAACGAGAATGGGAGTCGCGCCATTCGATCGAGACAATGAGAGCGCGCTTTGCCATTTAACCAAACATAAAAACCCCGGAAAGCGCCATTTCAAGGACAATCATCGCCTCTTAAGCCGGTTTAAAATATGACACTGCGACATATAAGCACAAGTATAAAGGTAGTGAGTACGCCCGCAGCAAAAGCATAAGCACAAGCAAGCGGTAGTGAGGAGGCGCACAACACAAGCACAATAAACTTTTTAGTTCTTCCTGTGCTTGTGCTTCAGTGTCAAGTGAGTACGCGCTGCTTATTCATATCATATATTCATATCATCATATATTTATATTACTTTTATTCAAATTTTTTTCAGTTGCAGTTTTTCAATTTTTTATTATCCTGTTGACATTTTTTACACGGCCCCATAAGCTATATTAGCTTTAAAACCCACCGTGTTCAAATAAAAGATGATGATGTTGTTGTTGTTACGTTGTTGTTGTTCTTGCTGTAAACTCCGCCATCTTGTTTTACTGTATCGAAGAGGTATGGAGCCCAAATAGGACAATCATCCCAATATTAAGCCCACGTGCTTATTATATATGCTTGTGTTGGAGTGGTGTGGGCGTCCTCGCCACCGTTCGTTGAAAACTAGGCTTTACGCTGTATCTCCTTTACTGAGGACAACAAAATAAACATGCAGTTTAGAAATGATAAAAAAAAACTCATATTGAATATTTTAAACTAGCACAATGTAAATTGTGGAAGTAAGAAAAATAATAAAAAGGCTGCGTAAGCTGCAAGCCTGCAGCCACAAAAAAAGTTCAACACAGTGCCTTGTTACCGCAAAAAATTAGCCATTACGTTAACCGCAAAAAAAGTTGCTTTGTTATATTATCGTTAACAGGTTCTTGCGAAGTATTTTCACGAGCGAATTCAAGCAACTAAACTAGAAATAAGTTCAAATTCTGTCATTGAAAACAACATGGGAGGAGTAACATCGCAAACATCGTCTGTTTTTTCAGAATAAAATTAAAGAGGATGTTTATACCTAGACATTGAAAAGAGAAAGTAAATCCTCACTGGAAAATTAGAATATGTTAACCAATGTTTTTTTAAAATTGAATAATTGCATGAAAAACAAAGCTCATATGTTTCCTAAAGCAAAGCAGGTGCAGCTAGAAACCTTTTTTTTTTTTTCAAGCAGGGCCCTCAATTCTATCACAACAGAAAAAAAATTCATCTCCATTGATCCACGGCGATTCAATATTGCCGTTTTTTACAATTTGCCACAATTATTAGTTAGGAGCAATTTCCTCCCGAGGCAATTCAGCTATGATCCACCTCAATGAGGCCACAACTGAAACATAATAAATATCTATTGATGGCAAAAAATGAGAAAATGCTTAATATATCTTTTCGCTTTCTTCCGTTTAGTTCTTTTATTGCGTTACCTTAGCTGTCTCCCGGTTAATAAACCGATAATCTCTTTAAGACAAACGCTCTCGCAAGATAATCTTTTTTAATTCGAAAAGTCCTGAGACATATAAACAAATTTTGCTATGGCCTTGTCTTAATTAAAATGATTTTCAATGTGTAACTTGGAAAGCCAATTTTAATTTAAATTGAAAGCGATCTGTCAATCCGTGACTTGAGGAAGCCATTTCTCAGAACTGAAATATTTTTGTGAACGAATAGCTGAAGACGCTTTTATTTTTATTCCTTTTTTTTTTTCCTTTTCTTTTTTTTTGTGAATTTCTTCGCCTGTCAGATATTGTAGCCATTTACAAAGTGGACAGTGGAAAACAATTACAGCGAACAATGCCAGTAAGATGACAGAACAGCCTTCTGGTGCAAACATTTGCTCAACGAACTCGAAAACAATTTGTCGTATGTTGTTGTTCAGTTGCCAGACTCCAAAATTACGGACAGTTCGTGTATTAATCCGCCATAGTAGCTGTAACTAAAAAGATAATATACCTGACAACTGAGGACATCCGTCGTGTTTTACACAAGATTTGAGAGGAAAATTTTAATCCAGAAATCGAAACAAATACTGACGTCAGTTTTTTCCATTGATACCGGCCAGCAAGTCCTCGCGCTGCTTTTACTCGATTCCATCAGTTTCGTTTGCGTAGCGATTGCTGTGGTTGGAATAATCTAGCTACACTGAGAAGTCACAAGAACTTCAATAGAAAAGATGCGCACCATACTTGTGTGTCCGTAGTTAACTGAAGCTATTACGAAATCTGCGTGGGAAATCCTTTCTGTCTATTCGCGCTGTAAAGCTCTGCAAGAGAAATCATTTCATCGACGCTGGAGAGATGGTGTTTTGGACTGAGAATTGGAATAAAATTGTTTGTAAGTGAATCAAGAGTACGCGAAATTCATGCTTCATGTGGTCCAGTGGCTTTCTGGCAACAATATTTTGAGGATTTCTGTGATAAACTGCAGTTAAACAAGCCTGGCGAGTCTCGCTGACAAATAAATATTGATTGCCTTTTAAACCAGGCGATTCGGCTTAAGTAATCGGCACGTTGCGGGTGGCACAGCGAGAAGACAATATTGAACGCGGGTAGCATTTCACTAAATTAACTTGGAAACTGAAATGCTGGAATATACTCTGTAGAGAAATTAAAGGAAGGCAGTCAACAATGACAGAAGACGATCAGTTCTCTGTCTCAGAGCCTTCGAGCTTCAGTGAACATAGTGTAAACTACAACTCGGCAATTCAAAAAACGAAGAGGAAAGTTCAATTTTCAGATCCACTGGAACATTGGAGAGAATTTGACAAAGAAACCGGCGAGATGTACGAACTAAACGATTCAAAAAACACGCACGAGGAAAGCATGAAACAACAATTAGAAAATACAGTAACATGCGACAAAGATCAAGACACTGATAGTGGTCAGGAAAAACTCGACTGCAAGGGTGCCGCGAAAACGCAAAGCATTACAGAGGTTATCCAAGCTTTTCAAAAACGACAGTACAGAAGAACAGACGTATCGAAACAGACGCAAGAAAAACCTCGGCGAGATCTCGACGCTGTAATAAAAAAGAACGCAAAATCCTCGTCAAGCTCTTTACACACAAAGCAGCTGAAACATAGTCGTTTGCTTTGCAATATGTCAACTTGCTCTAAATTGGCAACAGACGGAGAGTTTTTGTTAAATCTTCGTAAAGAGCCTTCGCTTATCCAAAGCTACTGCACATATTCATTTTCGAGTTCGATGGGAATGTTGACGGGCTTTAAAGTGTCCCCACTGCCGTTGGTTTCCACAAGTCGTAAGTTATACGACGAAAGATTGCTCCCAAGGACTGTAGTTACCAGCGTGGAAAGAAAATATCCTTCAATAAGGACTGCAAAATACGACAGCGGATTGCCACCAGTCGGACAGCTGTCAACGCCACATATTGTACAACTCTTTGACTGATTGATTTCTAGACATTTATACATCTTACCTGCATGGAATTAGAGTCTGGACGAAGGTTTTGGAATCACAATTTATTAACCAGTTAGACTTCGTCAATTTTCCATGCATCTGACTGACTGACTGACTGACTGTCCTGCTGACTGACTGACTGACTGACCTGCTAACTGACAGACAGGCTAACTGATTGTCCTGCTGACTGACTGACTGACTTGCTAACTNACTGACTGACTGACTGACCTGCTAACTGACAGACAGGCTAACTGATTGACCTGCTGACTGACTGACTGACTGCCTGACTGTCCTGCTGACTGACTGACTGACCTACTCTCTGACGGACTGACTGACTGACCTGCTCTCTGACTGTCTGACTGATTGACTGAATGTCTGACTGACTGACTGACTGTCTAACTGACCTGCTGACTGACTGGCTGACTGACTACCTGACTGTCCTGCTGACTGACTGACTGACCTACTCTCTGACGGACTGACTGACTGACCTACTCTCTGACTGTCTGACTGATTGACTGAATGTCTGACTGACTGACTGTCTAACTGACCTGCTGACTGACTGGCTGACTGACTACCTGACTGCCTGGTTGCCTGACTCACTGACTGACTGGCTGGCTGACTGACTTTTCCCGCCATTTGCTTACTAGGTTCGCAGGGTTTCTCCGATGCAAGCTATGATTCTTTTGCGATTCGACACAGGATTCAGAGTTCAAGGTTTAAATGCACTGATTTAAATCTGTCTATGTGTTGAATCAGCTTAATTTGCAAAAAAAAAAAAAATTGCAGAGCATGCCAGTGGACGTGGCGGGATCATTAGTTCCACGCGGGATTTCACCCGTTACATATTTATCCTTTCCCGCGAAAAACAAAATTTTTTGGAGTCTTACGATGCTGTTACATTCCATGGCATCCAAGGAAGTATTAGATTTAGAGCCAGTTTACCGATGATAGACAATTACAGCTTAAATTCAAAGAACATCTATGTCTGGTCATTGGTGTCACGCGGGATTTCACCCGTTACAATTTATCCCTTCCCGCAAAAATAAAATTGTTTTGAGTCTTGTGAGTGACTTGTGATGCTGTTACAATCCATGGCATCATCCACGAAAGACGAAGTTACAGTATACTATCTACAACCAATTTGTCGATGATAGACAATTACCACTTAACTTCAAAGAACATCTTGTCTGTGACTTGTTGATAAGTACAAGACTGTCATTTGAAGTCACGAGAAATGTTAATTTGGCGTTACCTAGATGAACCATGAAATTTTTATGCGAAAAACAATAAATGCCAATTTCCATATGAAAGAGTAAAGTGTATTCACTTCGTGTACCGGATCTTTTGTTACGTGGATGATTCCATTTAAACAAATCAAATATTAGTGTCGCCTCTCTTGACCTCGCAGACTTAGCTCTTTGTTCCTTTTGCCAATGAGAGACTCTGCTTCACAATTACCAATCAATCATTCGTGATTAACGCACGTTCTTTCCAGCTTGGATAAATACGTATAGCTTGTGTGTTTACGTTGCTATCGATTCCCGAAACTGCATCAAGCTGGAATGCTTTATAGACAAGCGAGCCGAGCTGCTTAGAGTAATTTGGAGTCGGCTGAAAAACATTTGAGGATGATCAGTTTAAGTGGATCGTGCCGTTTGTAACATGGAAATGGTTTAAGTTAATCTTCACGCAACCATAGTGAACATGATAATGTTCTGAATATGTTGATGTACAGATCCATTAGAGCAAAACAATTCAAGACAAAAGAGGTAAATTGAAAGAAGCGAAGCAATTAGCTCATTTTATTACATCAGTATGAGTCAGTCCACAGTGCTAAAACACTCAAGTTCGAAGAACACTTGATTGGTCTTTGATTAGTATCACTGATACAATCTAAACATTTCAAGGAGTTCAAAACTGTATCACGAACATTCAGTCCTATGAAGAATCATCGACGCAAGCGGAGAAAGAAAGGCAAGGCCTTGCAAGCACATGCGAAAGAAACCTTATCCGAAGCCACCGAAATTAATCCGCTGAAAGAGGAGGTCAGAGAAATGAAACCAAGCAACCTGCAATTCAATTTCGTGTGTGCGGATCATTACAGTTTATACGAGAGAACTTCGGTAAGAGAAGAGACGAGGAAAGAAGGTGCAAATTCTGAGCTTGTGTTGGGGAACGGAAGAGAAGAAACAAAGCGAGTGCTGAAAGGTGAACCAAAATCTGCTTTACCGCCACTGAAAGAAAGAACACAAAGAAGGAAGCAGTTGACCTTTGTGGGAAACGGACGTGCTTGTGAGCACTCGATACTCGAGGAAGGCAGAAATGTGGCAGAAAATAGTCAAAATATTGCTCCAACCTGCTCTGAGAGTCAAAAGAAATTAGCAAGTCTATCGTTTGTAGGGATCTATGATTTAGATGACATGGGTAAAACCGAAACGAATAAGAAAGATAAACTAAATAGCATTTTGAAATCAGGCAAGCAAGGAGATGGAATAAGTTTTGAAGAAATTGCCGAAGGAGTAGAGGAACCCTCCGAAAGCACAAAACGTTACGTTATTCAAACGTTAACTCTTGAGGGACAAAGTCCCTTAAGTAGAACAACTTTATTTCAAGATAAATTGCTACTTCCTGGTATCAAGGAAAAGGCTCTATCGACACGTCCACATAAAATCTTCCATGACGAATATAAAACGTCTAAAAGACGGCAAAGACGGCACAGGGAAAGCGAGAACAGGCTTCCCAACATAGTTCAAAGTGTTAACAGAACTCCCAGGATTAGCCCCAGAAGCTACAGAGGAAAATTACGAGCGCGTGATAATTCTTTTGAACAAGTTTATTTCGAGAGGAATCTTCCCCGCCTGCCGCTCATAGTGAACGGGAGAATGTCACATTCGTGATTATCACCTAAACATGTACACCGAAGTATGGCCAAGTATGTTTTGTTAGTCTTTTATCTCCAATTTCTCTTCCGTAAACTACTAACACGGTTTCAACTGATGTAATAAAGTTGTGAAATCTTTTGTAAACTGCTGTGGTAACTTTCAACATGCACATGTCATGTTCTTGATTTGCAGCGAGATTAATACTTGCTAACACTCCTCAGTAAAATTTCGTGTTTACTGGATCAACACTTTCCCTCGAAAACGAACTCTATTAATCTTTTTCTTTTCAACTTGGCTATGCATTCTAATACAACACAATTCTTTTCAACCAATATTTTGACTCCATCAATGGAGTGAAAGCTTTTTAAGCACTGTAATCACTACCCTAACTGAAATATAACATTTCTGTCGTCCTAATTGATTTGATTTTCAAAATTAGTTTATTTTACCACCATTACGCGGAACAAATTGAAATCTAGATAGTGACGTCAAACAATTGTTGTATACACGTACATCAGGTCTTTTAAGATGGATATCCGGATTAACAGAGTACATTTTGTCGTCAGCATACAATGCAAATCACTCCAGCGAACACTCAAGACTTTACTTAAGCATTATCTCATTATTAGCAGACGGCAAAACTGATGACCCACTGATGCGCGGAGACAAAACTGACAGCGGTACACGAAATGATCTCGTGCTTGGTAACCAGGTTGCTAGGTGAACGTGCTTTGTAAACTTTTGTAAACTTTCAATTTCTCTTTCTCGGTTAAGCCGTTAGACGGGATTAGTTTCTAAACAAACCGTTGTGTAGCATTAGTCAGTAACTAGAGTAATTAAGTAACCTCTCAAAGTTCGTTAATTAACTTTTATGCACATATTTCAATCGATCGCGTCTTTTTTTTTTCGTTTTCACAAGTTTGAATTCTTACCATGCAAAATTTTTCTAGGCGAATTGATTTAGTGAATGAGTTCTCTCTTTTGGAATACATCATTGACGATCATCCGATGACGTTTTTGGTCAAAATAATATGGCTGACGCAGAAAAATGGAAAGTTGACGAGTTTTAGGACTGAAGGCCCCTCTACGAAACAAAATGGCGACATGGTTCGGGAGATGCGTGTTTTGGGGTCATTTTTACGACGATATGAGTTTCATATATCCCTGCACCATAGAAATCACCATCAACTCCTAGCGTATTTCAGATTCTTTACTAACACTCACCGTTACTTTCACAAATTATATCATAGACCTACTTGACACATGTAGGTTAGGATTCATCATCTCTCTACCCTACCTTCGATCCCTTCCCCTGCTTCCCATTCCAACAAAAGCCCTCTGCCATGCCTCCAGTTGAATTTCATGAGTAAAAAAAGTGAACGGTTTCTTTTGCTTGTATCAGATCCACATCAACAAATGTAATCAAATGGAAGATCACGAGGCTTACGAAGAAAACCAGGAGTCATTGTGAAGTCACGGACCATAAAAAATTTTTTTTTTCTTGCGGCTTTTATTAACTCGTTTGTGAACAAAACGTCTGTTAAAGACCCTCGTGGGAGACGCTGTTGTTTTAATGTGGTTTCATAGCAATAGCTGAAGTCATTTGTTGATTAAAGTTCCTTTTGCGTTGTTATTTTCATTTCTTGAGATTGGTCTCTTTGTTGTTACTAATCTGTCCAACAAGTATTATTCTTCGTTTTCGCATTTTCCGGTGTCCACTTCAAAAGAAAGTGAAAAGCAAACATTTTTCAATGAAGTTAAATTACTTGTCAAAGGTAATGCTGTGAATTTTGTTGCCAATCAAGTACAGTGAGTGTACTTCACCGAAGCATTTTATTAGCACTAACAAAGCCTTTTTCATTCATTAGCATAGTCTCACCACTTTTAACAAAAGGATCTTAATTCATTTATGACAAGTTGTTTTCCTCTAGGAGTAATTTGTCTCCTATTGTTTACAGATGGATTAGATCAACGGTCTTGTAAAGGAAATCATGTCTTCTTCTGGTTAGTTTTGGAGGGTATTATTTGGGCCGTATTTCTTATCAAGAGAAAGTTCAAAACTGTTTTGACCATTAATTCGGCGACTTTCTCGCATTCAGTTGTCCGGCCTCGTAAAGGAGATTATTGACCTCCCTCTGTATGTGAAGACCAACTGAGAAATTTATTTCTGATGAATATTTAATGATCGCAAAAGAACTAAGAAAGTGATTTGTCAAAACGTCAAAAGAGGCATAGGGGCGCTATCTTTGTACTAAATGTGTACAAAGGCAAGATATTGCTTCCTTCCCTAAAGCTCAGCGCATAGACTCGTACTAACACTTAACATTTTCTCAATGGAGAGCTTTGAACGCAGATAAATACGTTAAGCGTTGAGCACTGCACAATAATGGCAAGAATAAGCGAATACAATGTGTCCTTCCGAGAAGATCAACTTTTACGAGGGAACGTTTTAAACATCACGGAAAGCAAGACGAAACGGCCGCCATTTTTTCTGCCGCAGATGAATCTAAAGAAAACTTCGACAAAATGTCAGCAGCCTGGCATAGAGCTGGATGTTCGCGGTCAAGGAGTGAAAACAGACGGCAAAGGTTTTAACAATAAGGCAAGACGGAAGCAAAAAAGAACGAGAAAACACAGGAATAAAGTGATCAGTTTCCAATCACCTAGCAGCAAGACTGCAGCTCACAAAATTCCTGGGTTTTCTCTACCACCGATAAATTCCAAATCTCTAACACAAGACCCGGCCACGAAGAATGATCCCGGGTGTTCAAGTACAACGGCAACAACGCCACGACAGGACTTTGAAATCGTGTTTACCACGCTAGTGAACGTAATTGAGCGAAGCAAGGAAGAACAGAAACGAACTGCGGAGAGATTTCAAAGGAGTATAGTACAGGGCGAGCAGAAACCAATTAACGAAAAACTACAGTCGCCATGGCCAGAGGAAGCGAAAACTGGCTGCTCACCTAAGGGATGTTAAAGGGAAATATTGCTGAAAAAAGCTCTCGATTCAAGAAGTATTTTACTCAAGGTTGATCTCAATCTTGCCTGTGGGAGACATGGTTTTGGGGCAAGAATTTTCATGGTGGAGAGTGACGCGCCAATATTGGGTTTAACAGTCTTTAAGCCATTTTGAACATACAAATGAATTTCAAATCAAAGAAAACCTTAGATTAACAGTTAACGAGGCAGAAAGTCCGCGAAGAGGGCTACACTTGATTAACAATTAGAGGTCCTAAGTTGATGATGAATGAAACTGCATTAAAAGCCCACAAGAAGGCAATTTGATCTTTGTTAGATTGAAGGAAGAAACATTTACCCAGTCCATCAAAGATTCCATCCTGCCACTAGCTTGATAATTGTTTACGGTAGTGCTCGTTTGAAGTATAGTTTCATACACATGATCAGATAACCTGCAAGTCTTGAATACATTGACTTTACCTTAATTTTCTACTGTCAGGAGCATTTTATTGAAAAACTCTGTTTCATTTGATAAGTGCGCACTGCACTGAAATATATCCCTGCAATGAAATATTATTACCTTGCTTACCAAAAACATGCCATAGTTTTACAAATAGTAAAGAGTGAGCCCATTAAATTATCGCAATAAATACGACATTGGAAAAAATAAAATCGTTCAACTGAAAGTAACCTGAAGAACAAATTGTTAACCTTTATCTGGCTTAATTGATTCTTGCATATTTTTAATTGTTAGACATTCAACTTAAACTTCAAACAATCGTGAAAAACCATTTCACACTGTCCAACCGGTGAACAAAGGCACATTGAATTATGCTTTAGTGGCCACGGACGTCTAAAACAGTCAATAAATACTGTATCTGAGACCAATGACGACTTATAAGTTACACAGTAGTATACAGTACTTGCACCAAGACATGATTTTTGGGTCTAGAAGGTTCCCTAGCAACGTTTTTGGTATTATGTTCAAGAGGCTTATATTGAAGTCAAAAGTTAATTCATGCAGATGGTTGATTTCCAATGGCTAAATAAAACTTCGTAGAACGGCTTTTACGCGGGAAATCGTCGTTGCCATGGACACAGAATGTCAGCGAAACAAAATCGAGTCAGTGTTGACAGCCGCTCGGTTCCAGATCACCAGTTTGGCGCAATCCAGTCGAAGAATTTCATAGCGAGTTCAAAACCAAGGAAGCAAGCCTGTCGAAAAAACAAATATTATTTTACTACGTTAAATCAAAAATTAATGTTGGAGGAAGAGGAAGGGTAATCCTTCCCATTCCATCCAAATTAAGCTGACGGGCAGTACTATCACGTGTACAAGGTAGTTCTAACTTTTGGATGAAACCCTAGTGTGTGACCATACAAATGAAAGATATTGAGCAGTACTTTCTTGAAGTACTGTTTATTATGTTGTACAAGTTGGTTCGAATATTCAAGTCTAGGGATGAAACACTAGTGAGTGACCATTCAAATAAAAGGTATAAATTGAGCGGTACATTCATGTGGTGCTGTTTGTCATGCTGTACGAGAAATGAAGTAACTGTTGAGTTTAAGAATGAAAGCTTGTACTTACCGCATTTGCTGGGAAAGCTCTGAGCATGACTGGTGTTAATCCTCTGAATAGTGCCTTAGGGCCTTCCTCGCGCATCTAAAATGGAAGTAAGAGCAAGCACACAGTCAGGCAGATGAAATCAAAAGAAAATAAGACCCCAATTTGATGCAGAGAATAAAACGTTTGTAATACAGACAGAGCCCAGTGCCAGCTGCCTGCCTTACAGAGGAGTTTGCAGTAGAGTAATGCCTAGTCTGAGAGATTTGACAGTAAATCTTACCATGTGTCTAAACACATCTCTGACGCCATTAGGATAACTTCCCTCAGGTGCTATAGAGAAACAAAATTAAATTAGTGCAAATATTGGTCAGCCTTCATCAGGAATTTTATTACTGGCTGCCTAATAGGGGTGGCTTTTTAATAGGTGGCTGCTCAACATAGGGGTTCAGCTGTATTTTAATGAAGTTGAGTGGATGGACAGGGTTTTTTAATCTCTGCTAAAAGCTCATACATTTCTTTTTAACCTGCAATATGTGTTCACGAATACTAAGAGAAAGTAATATTTTGAGATAGGTGAAGCTTTTCTATTGTTTTTACCTCTATTAAGCAGCCACTATCCATTTCCCCAAGGGTGGCTGTTTAATAGGGGTAGAACTGTACACTCTAGTTTCCCAGTAGTGGACAGCCTTACCATCACAGTAAGATTAAAAAGAAACAGCTTAGAATAGGTGCCCAGTTATGGCATATCAATATAAATGTTTTAGTAACTGTATATGGCTGAAACAGTGACTCAATGTCTGCCTAAGATACCGCAGTTTAAAAGTATTTTAGTTCATGCTAATGTCCTAGGTCACAATTTAGTGACCACTTTGGAAAGGTCTCCTTGGTCTCCCTTGATGCTGGCTGTGAAGAATAGTCTCTAATAAAGTTATTTTACAAAATATACAATGTAAATTCAAGTCAGGAATCAGGTTGTACCTGTTTGTAAGCGAGACTTCAACACATCAGGAGCTATAGCGACAGTCCAGTTCATCATGCCTGCCACTCCTGCCGACAAAAATCAGATTAGATGCAAAATAACTGTATCATGGTATTTTTGTGTTTTTTTTTGTTTTCATTCCATGCCCTGCCAGAGAGGGATTCCCTTTTCTTTCTGCTTGGTGAGAGAAAAGTGGGAACCTATGCTCATATATAGCAAGCTCATGAATTAGAAATGAAACATTGACTTACCTCCAGCACAAAGGATTTTTAAAGCACCAACATCTTTTCGACTGCAAGACAAGAATAAGAAGTTGTGATACATACATATACATACATGTACATAATATTCAATCTCTAAGGTGTTAAAAGTAATAACAATGACTAACTTCAGACAAGTTCTGGCTAGAAAACAATGGATGATCTGCAATTTTCTGACTTCACAGGAGAAAGGAGACTAAAACACAACTCTGTATCATAGCCATGTAATTCATGCAAAGGACGGATTTAGGCCTGCGGCTGAGGGTCTTTTTGCAAAGTGTCGCAAAAAATAACTAAAGGCAGATAACAAGAATCACATGCAACCTAAATATCAATCTTTGACTTGTTGTAAACCAGTACATACGTCTTTCCTTCAGGAGTTAGTGCATTTAGAAGAAACTCATATGATAT